TTCTTCTCAATAATTTTAATTCTATACATTTAATTAAGACACTAAACTCTAAAGTGAAGCAAGGAAACTATTTGTCTTACCCTAACTTATTTTGGATGGTAAGGGTATTGTCTCAAACTTCCCTTAAAGAGCAGAACTTTAAGAAAGAAAGTAGAAACCTCTCCTGTCTCTAGACGAAATAGGGGGTAAACCTTTTTCTGTTAAAAAAATTATGGTAAAATGTCTTTAATAAAACATGAATTCTACAAATCATTTCTAACTGTGTTTTAAAATCATTGCATTAAATGTACAAAACATTAAGTTTTTGTGTTTTCATTGTACTCTGAAAACTAACATTAAAGATTATTATAAGACAATTTTGATTCATAATGCGTAATAAAATATTAACAATATGTAATTAAACTTTATACTTGATTTATATTTTAGATCTACCCAAATGAAAGACATAGCTTAAGAAGTTTGGATGCTACAAAACATTATGATGCTACATTTTTATCATTTTTACAAAACTATTTATAACGTTTTACTTAAAAATATATTGTTTATTTATTATTATAATTATTATTTTGTTTACAAAACTAATTTATTGTTAAATCTAGTTAATTTTTTTATCAAAGCACATATTACTAAAATAAATACTAAAAACAACAATTAAACTTTTGTATATCAAATTTATATAAAAATGTATTACTGTATTATAATAGATTATATTAAAATTATAAAACTAAATGAGTATTAAATAATTATTGTACATTTCTAAATATATGGATACTATAATTTTATACAACCATTTTTATATTGTACTTAAAATTAAATAATTCAGAATTTTTACTGTGATTTTGTTATACCTATTTAAATTACTATTAATTAGATATAGCTATTGTAAATAACTTTAAAAAAAATTGTTATTTTTGTTTATCAATTCAACATATTACTTAATATTATGTTTAAAATAATATTAGTACATTTTGTAAAATTGTAGACCTGGCAAACTATTTACTAGGGGCTTATTTAGTGATTTAATTATATTTCATAATATAAATATCAAGCATAGTTTTATATTTTAAAGATATTCATTATTATTTATTATAATTAATAATTATTATTATAAAAAAAATTTATTTTTTGTAAGTTATTAACAATATTATAAACAATAAAATTACAGTGAACTGCAAAAACAGTTAAATATTTAAATGAGAATAAATCACACATTAAAACTCGGGGGGAATACAATTTGTACTACTTATAGAAATTTACCCACGTCAGTGTCAAATTTAATAAAACAATATTTATAATTAAATAAATATGTTCATGTTAATTAAATAATGATTTATACACAAAACTTACTGTATAGTTAGAGTAGTTAGTATGTTAATACTTAAACATCTTAAAAGGTAGGTAATTTTACTATTGGCAATAAATCATTTTAGTATTCAATTATTATTATTCATAGCAATCATGCCTGATGTTTATGATTACAATATATTGTAATCAGTTTCCGTGTAATAAATAACACAGTTGAGAAATAGTATAGTATTACTAATATTTGGCCCCATACAGGTGCGGATCTAGAAATGAAAAATGGGGGGTTGGAAAAAAATGTACTTAAAGCAGGGAGGTATTGGTTTCAATTTTCGGAGTACACCCAATGTAAAATCTCATTTCATGGGTATACGCTCCTAAAATGACCCAAAAACCAAATAAAAGTTAAACTTAATTAATAAATATTAGTTCATAGGAAAAAATTGTTATGATGTTTTAATGAATTATTTATTGATTGAAGTATGAATATAACAATATGCGTTGTGTTTATTGTATTTTAAGTTTAACCGGTAAGGTGTATTGACCACTGGTGTCCATTTTAATTTTTAAATTCAAAGAATTTGACTTTTTAGTTTTTAAATATAAACAATTTACCTCTGAATCAATGGAACTCAGAAGTATATGTTAAGTCATGGCCAATTGGCCAAAATAGAGCTTATGATGATACAAGAACAAAGATATTGAACATCGATGATCCCCAATAGGTATTGAATACAAACCATTTTTGTGGAAAATTCTATAATAGATTGTATAGTATTAATATTATTAACATAATATTCTTTTATTTCTTTTTAGTTTTTTATTGTTATTTTATATTTTTTGACATTGAAGTTGGTTTTGTTTTATTTGCAATTGTTATATTATTAAAAAATGAATAAGATAATGTTAAAAGCTATGTACCTACCTACTTAAATTGAAATAATATTATTTACGATAATATAATTTGAACTTAATATTAATTAGAAGTTCTAAACATATTAGGGAGTAATGAATTTTTATTTTACATACATTTTAGATTCTGAGTGAAACGATGAATGTATTGATTTTACAATGATGTGTGTTTTTTTTTAATTTTTTTTTTGTATCATTGTCATCACGTTTTAGGACAGTAAAAGTGCTTGGATTTTCTTCAACAGTAGCTTTTCTGATAGGAAAGTAAATCTTGTTGGTACTTTCGGGGGTCAAAAATAAAAATGTCCTAGTCGTTTTCACAAGCGCCGGGAAAAACAACATAAAAATTAAGGAAAAACGGGAATTTTTACTCAAAATCGGTTTTCCAAAAAATCGATTTTGGTTTTTGGTGTAACTTTAAAACAAATTAACGTATATACATGAAATTTTCACTGGTTGTTTATATTTGCATTTTCCATACACGATAACATTTTCAAAATATTTTGATTTATTTTGAACTGTTCAGGGACATTTTAATTTTCCATTTGTTTTTAGTTTTTTTTCTAAAAATATCAATAAAATGTTATTTGTTGGTTGCGAAAGCTTGACAATTTAATAGAAGGCTCCTAGTATGTATATTGTTTCAAAGGCAGATGAAAAATATTAAAAATCCTTAGTCACATTTTTTTTTATAAGCATTTAAAGTTCAAAAATTGACAAAATATGGAAAAATCACGAAAATTAGAAAATTATTTTGAGTTAAGAATTCGTAAAAATTTTTCTTTTTAAATCTAAGATTTTAAAACGTAATACAAGATTCCTTACAAGATTATATACCTTTATCAAAACAAAAATGTCTATAAGAAAGTCAAATTAAATTTTTATGAGCGTTTGAAATTCAAGTTTTTACAACATTGGATATTTACTCGATTTCTCAAGTAGGTAGCGATTTCCTTATTTTGTTGTAATTCAAAAACGAAAAACTGTAGATAGGTACATGAAAATTTCACTGAATGTTCATATTAGCATTTTCTATACACGTACAATTTTAATATATTTTGACTTATTTTGAACTGTTTACGGGACATTTTAATTTTCCATTTGTTTTAGTTTTTTTTTCTATAAAATATCAATAAAGTTTTATCTGTTGGGCCAAAAAATGTAAAAATTTAATACAAGGCTCCTGATATATTGTTACAATAGCAATTGAAAAATTTTAAAAATAAATAGGTACAATTTTTTTTTATAAGCATTTAAAGATCGAGTTTTGACAACATTTATCAAAATCTCGAAAATTATCAATCATTGTGATTAATAAATTATAAAATGTTCAGTTTTCATAGCTAAGAATTGCAAATTTAAAACAAAGGTTCTCATAAATAGTTCATACTGTAACCAAAAAATCTAAAAAATATATGAACACAGTTATTTTTTACAGACATTTTAAATTCAAATTTGGACGAAATTACATAATAAAAAACCTAGAATAACTATTTTAGTTATTTTGTTGTGATTGTATAATATTATTCGTGGGTACTTGAAACTTCTAAAGTATACTACTATATATCTATGATAGTATCAGGGTTTGTTGTTGGTGTATAACGCGTTATAAGTACCTAATGGATATTGTGATATGATTAATTTGGAATTCATTATACTTCAATTGTTTTTTAATACCATAGATAAGTATATAATATGTCTTATACCTAGAAAGACATACCGTTTGCGCTAACCTAGTGTACAGCAGAGCGAAACCCACTTGCCCACCTTTTTTATAGTTAAGGATTGAAAATTTAAATCAAGGTTTCTCGAACTTAGTTCATATTGTAACCAAAAAAATCTAAAAAATATATAAATACTAAAACTCATTTTTTTTATAGACATCTGAAGTTCAAAATTTGTAAGAAATTTGGTATTTAAACGAAGAATAACAATTTTAGTTATTTTGTTATAATTTAAAAATATTATTCCTGGGTACCTACTTTAAATTCTTAAAATATATTATTATATTTTATAGTTTTATACACAAAATTATATTTTTTCGGCAAAATTTAATTTAACCTGTTGTAGTACTAATGCCTAATAGTAAAATAAATTACTTATGATAACTGATAAGTAACATTTGGTTTTTACCAAATGTCAAAATCTGAATTCATTATTGACTAAAATTACGCAATATACCCATGTGTGGAGCCTCCTCCCTACTCAAAGCTCCGCGTGTTTGAAAATGTTGAGCCTCGGAACAACATATTTTGCACCCTCACCACAAAAAAAAGTTATTCCTTAAAATTAAAAGACTTATTATAGACCTACTATAGGTACTATTTTGTGGAATATTTTTTTCGGATACCTATTATAACCTTTTTAAGTTTTGAAGTCCACAAGTTTGGGTATTCCTACCAGTCGTGGGGGGAGGTGTGTTTGTTTAAATAAATAACTTTATTGACAATAAAATAAAAACTAGTACGATAGGTAGGTAACTTCTGATTTCCCCAAAATGTTAAGGATGAAAAATTCACATTTTCAAAATAAAATTCAAAAATATTATAGAAATAACCACGTTTTTAGCCTTACCCAGGGCTGTATTTACAATTTTGCCGCCGCGGGGCACAACATTTTTTTCCGCCCTTTATAGACACATTTTAATATTTTACTAATATAGTGTTAATTGGGAGAAAAATAAAATTATTATGCTAAAATATACCAATATTAACACAGAATAATGAATATAAAATAATATTCTATATGATTAACTATGAACTTTATTATATTAATATTAGTAACAATTACATTTTTCTACGAGCTTTTAACTCACTAAACTTATTTATAATATAATCATAATTTATATTAACTGTTAATTCTGACTCTATATTTAGTATTGCTAGATCATTCAGACGATCATCTTTGGTACTAGATCTTAAGTAAGTTTTAATCCTCTTCAAAGCACTATAACTTCTCTCTGCTGAGCAGTTTGAAGCTGGACAACATAAAAACATTCTTAAAGCAATGCTAATATATGGAAAGACATCTTGTAAATCACTTTCTATTATTTTCTGCAACATTCCTAAAATGGTTTTAGGAGCATTGTCTTTTGGTAAAGTTAGTAGGTAGCTCTGAAAATGAATACATTCATTTGAGAATGATACAGGAAGATCTTTAGAGTAATATTTTTGTAAAACTGCTGATTGATGTCTGAATGGCATTCATGTTTGCTAAAAACGTATATCCCCCCAACCAAATTCCTAATTACGCCACTGGTACCCACAAATAATATTATACAATGACAACAAAATAACTAAAATAGTTATTCTAGGGGTTTTTAATATGTAATATCGTCCAAATTTGAACTTAAAATAACTATAAAAATAAACAGTACCTACATATATATTTTTTAGATTTTTTGATAACAGAATTAACTACTTACGTGGAATCTTGTTGGACATTTTCAATCCTTCGGTATAAAAGTTGAACATTTTCTATATTTTTTACAACAAAATAATTATTCAATTTTAAATTTGATAAAGGTTGTCAAAATTTGATCTTTAAAGAGGATGTTAGCGCACTACCTATTTGTTTTCTCTCTCTGGCCCACGCGCAGCATAGATGAAACGCATGAACGCAGAATCATTTTTTCTATGTTTTAAAGTAATCTTAGAGTAAAATTAACCATTACAAAGAAGATAGATAATAATATTTTTGAGGGAATGTCATATCTATTTTATATTTTATTGTTATTTGACTTTGTATTCGACTTTCAAAATAAACAAAAAAATGTTGTACATTAAAATGATGTTTGAATTGTTTTGAGAAAATATTTAGACAAATCGATATGACATTCCCTCAAAAATATTATTCTCTGTCTTTTTTATAATGGGTGATTTTACTCTAGGGTTACTTCAAAACATAGAAAAAATGTTTCTGCGTAAATGCGTTTCATCTATGTTGCGCGTGGGTCAGAGAGAGAAAACAAATAGTGTGCTGGCATCCTCTAAATGCTCACAAAAAACTTGTGCCTATCTATTTTTAATATTTTTCAACTGCTATTGTAACAATATATCAGAAGCCCTGTATTACATTTTTACACTTTTTTACCTAACAAATAAAGTTTTATTGACATTCATAGAAAAAAAACCTATAGGTTATAAAAAGTTGGAAACTGAGTAAATCCGTAAACAGCTCAAAACAAATCAACATCTTTTCATGTATAGAAAAGGCTAATATAAACATTCATTGAAAATTTCATGTATTTACGATCATTTGTTTTAGAGTTAGACAAAAAGCCAAAATCGATTTTATCAAAAACCGATCTTGCGTAAAAATTCCCATTTTTCCTTGATTTTTATTTTGTTTTTACGGGCGCTTTTCACTTTCTCACCGGAAATTGAAAATCGAAACATTATTTCGACTACTTATCGTATACATAGACACTCACAAAGAGAACACACATCAACGTATAATCAATACAGTCATGGCTCCGCTCAGAATCTAAAATTAATGGACAATGGTTAACTATTATCACAGTTCAAAGATAAAACCAATAAAAACTTACCACTTACGACTTGATATCATATTTATCCATCTAAAACAGTAAAACGTACCTATATCTTCATAGTATGAAGTATAAACACAAAATAATTTAAAGTAAATTGAAACTGTTAATATTGTTAATAATTATTATTTATTTAAAATAAACAATTATAAGGCCTGGGATTTTAATCATAGATAATAAAGATGTTTATTATCTATGATTTTAATGCCCTAAAAAAACTAAAAAATAAAATTTCATTATGCCCTAAAAATTCTAAATAATGCACTAAAAAATGCACTACGTATTTTTTTTTTATAATTTTGTTATAAATTTGTTACATTTAAATTATAGTATACATTTTAAAAATGGTTAAAAATTTTACTAGCTTTTATACAGAACTGATCGTTTTGGACTTTTTTAATTTGGAAAAACAATTATTTCCATACATTTTTATTTTATTGTTTTTATATAGGTTTAGACAACATTTTATTTACCTGTACAGTGTACATATTATAGTGTCCTAGTTCGGGCTAGTTAAAGTTTGTTAAATTTACATAAAAAATCGTGTAAGAGCATGTAAACATTTTAAAATTCAAATTTTGGATTTAAATACCTTAAAAATCTGAAAACATCAAGCAAATGTAAATTAAAACTTCTTATTTTGATTCAAAAATGCATGTCACGTGTATGTTATAAAACGAGGGCACGAGCATCGCGTGGCTAGAAGCCTGAAAAACAATTCAAAGTGCATCGAAATCCTAGCCAAATTATTATAATAAAATATTATGATCTATGCAATTTAACGAACAATAAGGGGTGTGGGGGTATAGCCCCGCCAACATTATTGCTATTATAAAGACTTAAATCTCATCTCAGAACCAATCCCTAATTACGCCACTGGACCCAAGTTGTTTAACATAATTACTAATTAGTATATTTGTTTAATTTAACATCATGAATTCGGTACATATAATAGGTATTGTATATTAAGCAACAATTTATAATTTATTACATTGAATAAGTTTATATAACCTTACTTAGGTACCTATAGTCTATACTGATAATTATTTTTAAATTATTTATTAGTTATTTCTTATTGCAATAATAATATGCATTGCTATAATATTATAGTAGGTACTTAATCACAATAACGAAAAAGTACTGGTACAGTGGTAGTGTGGTTGTGGTACCTTGTTGTTGATTGAATTTAATTTCAAACTTACTAAAAAAATTAGTCGCTAAATTGCCTATACTTATACCCTTAAAACGTATATGTTTTAAGGGATTTGGTATAGGTAATATCAATACAAAATATCAAATCATATCGAATGTTGCGGCCGAACTGAAAAATAAACATATACCTAATAGGTATCTACTTCTAAGCCATTTTACTATAATATCCAAAATTAAACATTTTATTTTTCATAAATAGGGACAATGTATACATCAAATGTAATTTGTATATATTTTATAACTGAACAGGAAATATGAATACTATTTCATAGTTTTTACTGTTGCCTGTATATTAAGTAAACAGCAATTTAAACTGGAGCCCGAATAGACTCAAGTCTGTCTATACCCGTTAGGCGTTAGTGTTGCTGTTACATAATTTATACATATATAATAGACTTAGGCTTACTATGATCTAGTAGAACCTTAAGCTACATACTTAATTCTGCTTGAATATTCAGTGGCGTATATAAGAATAAAGTGCCCCAGCCCCCAGGTAAAAAATGAAGTAGCGTCACATTTGACAATCCCATTAATATTTGAAAAGTGACAACACATAATATTATACATAGGTTATAAACAATACGTCAATACATGTATTGTATTAGTGCACTAATTCATGCGTAGTCTTCAAGTCTTCCACGATACCAAAAATAAACCCCCAATAATATGTCAAATAAATAAATAGTGATCGAACAAGCAACAACCGGACACCGGTGGGTATACATGTTGACAAATGCGTATTATTACTATTATTCAGTGTTCTCAACTTTATAAATATTACCCACATTAAAACATTAATATTATGTTTGTTTGACCCCTTAGTTGTGCCTTGTGCCTAGTATCATGTTCAAACTGAAGTTAGAACACAAATTAATTTTTGAATTTTAAATTCAAACCATAGAGTAAGATAGAGGTGGCGTTCCCTATCAAAGCCGTGTAACAAAATTGAAGTCAAATCATCGGTCGCCAACACTTTAGAGACAGTGATATAAATGATTCATGGGTTACTGGAAATGGGAATAACAAATATACTGTATGTATTTAATTATTTCTTTTAAAATCATTATTGCAGTTATAGTCAAAAAAGTACCTACCTGTATATGTCTAGGTATGTTTAAAAAGAGCTAAGCTGCGTAATGGTGCCATTCCTATACCAGTTAAAAATGGATCAATAAGTGTAGTAAATATAGCCAATATCATATGAATACACTGTAATTTAAATAATACCTGTTAGTCATTGACTTAATATTTATATATTTTTTTAAGAATGACAAGACTAATAACAATTGTGTTACTAGCTATGGAAATGTACATGATTTACTATCTTCGATAAACAATGATCACTGTTATACAGCAATAAAACCACAGGAAAATAAAATAGTTCATGATACTGGTACAACAAACTACCTAAAAAGAGATGCACCTTTATTTAATACAGAATTAACGTCCCCAATACCTAAAAGATTAAAGGTACTGTACCTATTATGAAATTAAATAATGTTTTAATTTGTATTATTAATATCATTATTGTGTTTTTATTTCTGATTAAAAGGTAGAACAAAAAATGACATTATTTAAATCAGTTTTAAATGATATAAATATATTAAAATTAAATATACTAACAAAATGGTTTTGTGATATCGATGATATTCTACTAAAAAACAATTATAAGCAGACTATAATTTAATTTCATAAGTTGGGATCTTATACAAAAAATGTTATGCGAATGCGATGCATTGAAAAACAACTAGTTTTAAATGAAGGTAAATTTTATAACATAACAAAATATAATATAAATTATTAATATTATAAACCTATAGAAATCAAAATCTATAATATTTTCTATTTACAGAGTCCGAGTTATTTCTAAATGCTTTTGACAAAAAAATAGAATTATCAGATATTGGGGTTAATTCAAATATTAATATAGACAATCACACTGAAGTAGAGAAGATAATTAAAATATTTGACAATATTAGGTTGTGTAAGGGTGCAGTACCATCAAATGAATATGGATACGTAAAATTATCCATAAGTCCAGATTTAATCTATTCTGTGGTTTAATAGTTGAAATCAACGAAATATTAATAATTATACTATACATTGTGTTTTAATTGTTTAGGTATAGTAGATATAAAGTAATAAGTAATAGATAAATACATAAATTGTAAAAAATATATAATAAAAAAGATTTATACATTCATAATAATAATTTAGATAATTGATTAGATTTCTCACCAACTGCGTTTATGATAATATTGTTATCTATTTCCATGAGAATTTTATTTTCAATGGCCATTAGCATAAAAGACTCAAGATAATCATTGGTCAAATATTTAGTTACATTATTGTAATTATATGGTACATTCCACCATATATTTCTGGTTACATTTATTAAATATTATTGACAAAATACAGATTGCAATTCACAATATTACAATA